AGGATACTGTTACTAAATTCTAGATAACAGATATTTTTACTATCCTCAAGTTACACAGAAAACACTCCAGGAGATAAAAGCCATATTTATCTCAAGTTTGTCGATTGTTAGTGCTCTCTCCTTTGAAGACTTGAAAGACAAATATAAAGATAAATGAAGTTTTCTAAAATTGTGTGCATATACCAATTATTTACAATAGATCAGTCAGCCACAAAAATCTATCACAAGTTTAGTGTCAGGTTAGAGTTAGAATTTGAGGTAGGGTGGTACTTACTCTATTAATTTTAAATGTATATTAGTCTTATTCCTTCTTTTTCCAAACACAGTTTATGATTACAAATCACAGAAACTAACGGCACAGCTTCCAACCAGGGAGTTTTTTAAGGCACTGAAGAAGTTTAATTACATAATGTCTAGTCCTAGACTTGAACATAAACACATACACACATATACCTGCTAACAGAATATATGAAATGTAGTTGAGATATGCAATACTGCCATAAACTAATGTGATTATCTAAAAATAGAGAAATTGTTGTAATTAATTTGACATAAAATTATAAACTATAACAGTCTAACATTTACTTAAAAATTGTTACAATAATTACTCTCTATGTATTGATAACCTTATGCATATAGCTACACTGTATTTAAAGTACCAGCTTTATTTAAAAAAATATAAAGAAAGAAATCATTTCCACTGCTCTAAACAACACTCTGTGTGCGGCCTGGATGTGCACACACATGCACACGATGCACACATACGCTCATACACAGACACTCCTAATCTTACACCTGTTCTGAAGCAGTAGGAAGTGAATTCTCAACCTGTCAACATGACCATCTGGTCCAACTGCATATCACGGCTTTCTCTATTACTCTATGAAGGAATGGCAATCACGAAGCCAAAATAAAACTAAAATGCACCTAAATGGGAGTCTCTCTCTCTCTCTCTCTCCCTCTTTGTTGAAACGGAATAATACATGGCGTATCAGAGCAAAACTCACAGTAATGTAAATAACTAAAAATGAGCATTCACGCTAGCATAATAAGGTGAATAATATGGTACAGGTGATATGGTAATCAGTAATACTGCAGTACAGGTTTACAGGACAGGTACCAGAATTCCGAGACATGGCAATAGCTCTTTCAGTGAGTGATGGGACCTTTGCTAACCCTAGTCCAAGCAAAGCTAAGTAAAGGTAGTAACAGGGGCAGCATGAAAGCAATCAGTAACTATTGTACTAAAACATCACCATGCAAAAAAATGTTCACTTATACCTTAAAACTAACCAAGTACTCGTGCTACCAGTAGGACAAATCCAATTTTCTCTGTCACTGGTTAATTAACAATGACAGCAATTAGCTGGCAAATTTTGGCCATTTATTTATCTTTCAAAGTAAATTTTAAGGCCACTAAAAATACTTCCAATCTCAGAAAATTACTCATGTGCAAAAAGTGAGGATGCTCATTGTGATTTAGCGCTTGGGCCCAACTTAAAAACTAGCACAGGCCAAATTGAATTAAACATAATTTTATTTGTTTAATTTTTATTTTTAAACATCTCCAAGCAGCTGCCTCAGAGCTTTCATTCTATTCCCCCGCCCCCCAAAAGCAGGTAATAACTATGAAAAATAACGTGTAACCCTGTCATTCTGTGGTATAGATACAGCAACTTACCTCTAATGCAAGAGATGCATTCTTAAAAATCTAACTTCTTACAAAATTTAACTCAGCTGAAAAGCTCCCTAGAATCTGATTACATTACCAGAAGTTATACAGAAGCAGTTTAACAAAAAAAAAAACAACAACAAAAAACTCTCCAGAAAGTTCTCGGTTGAGTGCCTACTAATGAACAAAGGTTAACTTTATCTAAAAGGTCAAATGCCTGGTGGCTAAGGTTATGACCTTAACAACTTAAATTGTGACCTTGCCACGTGCCGGGTATATTGTAGATTCTGATACAGATCATCTGGTAAAGACTGGTCATAAATTAGCTTTACTGTTACATGCCCACAAAGAATACCATTTGCCACAATACCATAATATCTCCAAGTTGTCATATGATACAGGGGAAGGACAACTCAAATAGAGACCAAACTAAAATGAATATACTCTTTTATACTTTTAACGAGATGAAATTCTCAGGCTTTTGGAATCACTCCGATTTCATTATACTTGTTACTGTTTATCAGCCACAAAATTCACACAGTTCGAATACTCCTGGATTTAGAGGAAAAATTTGGAATGTAATTTATGTATTGTATTTTAGCATCTCAATAAGTCTCAGGCTAAATCACCTCTGCTTTTAAAAAAAATGATTGATTCTGCATGAGTTTCCAGCATTTACATGTGTGTTCTAAGATTTCAACTTCCTACCAAAGAAGAGGCTGAGAAATAAAGCAATAATTGTACACATTTTTTTTGGAAGGAAAAAAAACACCTCCCTTTTGTGGCCAGCTAAGGGGAAAAAAAGGAGACTTTGGGGGAGAAAACAATATATAACACTTTAAAGAAAGAGAGAGGTGGGGGGAGCGGACTGTAGGTGAAAAGGCCACAACGATTTTGGCATGTTTCTTGAAGCACGTTTCAGAGTCTCTGCCTCCTGCCAATACTGGCAAGTTCTCAAAACTTTTAAGGAGGTAAAAACATTGTTTAGTGTTTACAAATCTTCAGTATTATAACAGATGCTTGTCAAATCAGTTGTATGTAAGTTGACCGGCCTACCTCGTATTTGTATTGGCAGCCTCCCTTCCACAAATAACAGGTCTCTAAATCTCTTAAATCAAATTTGAAATATTTTCAGACAAAAGGCCCCTAATATTTCCTTTTGCAATCATCCTGCGGCGCGTACAGAGAAGCAGCCATTACCGCGCTCTGCTCCGGCAAAACCAATGGCCTGGCACTTGGCTGGCGTTCAGGCCTGACAAGGGATTCTGGGATACATCAGGAAAACCAAACCGAAAGGTAGTCTGATCCATGTTGCTGTCAATAAATCTTTCATAAGCAATAAGGATGCTAACTCTCCTAAGCAACCGTCTACACATCATTTTACCAACCTCACCCTTTAAGTATTGAAACAACCAGCAACTGTTAGCTCCAGGACTTGGAGCGACAGCACCAGTAACAGCATCAACAACAAAAGAGAATGCCTGTCATGGCAATAGCTAGAAAGGTTGCATCTCTTAAATCTAAAGGAAATGTTTACATCTAAAACTTAGAATGGATACTGCTCACACCGATAAAAACATAACCGGTATTTCATTCTGATGGTACCTTTAAGGAAGTACAAAACATACCATGATGTGCATCACCTGTTGGCACCCTCAATTTTCAATTAGAGCACTACTTATAATTTATAAAATACTTACTTCCGAAATATTAAAAAGATTAAATACATTTTAAAAAATGTTCCCTGACAGCACTTAGAACACCCGTATTTTCTTTGCACCTTGCCTTTCCTTATAAGAATCTCCACTTACATATGCAAATAAATTTTTAAAAAATTTAACTTGGCTTTTTCAAAACACAGAACAAAGTAACAACAATGGCATGGTAAAGGGGTTAAGAAAGGACTACTTTTCCTGTGTAAAGGTCATTTGAGAGGTGTGCCTTTTCATTACCGCCACCCAAAACTGGCTGAAGCAACAGGCACTTCTTATAATTACATATAAACATTTTCAGAAACCCAAACATTTTAAACACTTACAGATCACATCCTCTAAAATACTTATCTGTCCCCTACCAACAGAATGCAAATGATGATGAGACATGCTTGCAAAGTTAATTTCTCCAGTTTCTTATGTAAGGAAAGATGGATAACAAAAGTTCTCTTTCTGAAACATATACTGAGAAAAATAATAGAGAATAGGATTTCAGCTCACTTCTTTAAAATATAGCTTGCATCCTTATAATTAAAAATGTTTTGCAAAACAGTACTGTGTTGATTTTACAGATAGTATCTTCTCTCTCCTTTGTGAAAAAAAATATGTAATTATATGAACCCCAAAACAATCTACTGGTAGGATTCCACAACCTTCTTTCTTCCATCAGGCTCAAGTAACTGCCATGAAGGTGATCTACCACGACCGATATGTACATATAAAAAGTCAACAAGTTACACAAGATCTGAGCTTTCACATAACACAATGAGCCTTTTGTCTAAAACAAGATGAAAGGAACAAAGTAAAAATGCATTATTTTATCCAGTCCTCAATAGTTTTATCCTCAATGCTACTCTAACTGCTGTAATATGCATAGGTAAAACATGCCCTGAAAACAGCCCTGAAACAATAAATACTTTTATTATAAATCAAAGCAACTCACTAAACCAATTATCAATATGGATTTCTCAATGCACTCATGCACTATACGGGTTGGTTACTTTTAAGGTTAACCTCTCCATCAATTACTTAAGAGTTGGTTTGCTTTTTCCCTTAGCTATCTGAGACAACACTAAAAGTTCCTAAACACAAAGCTACTAAGTCTGCATATTAATGTAAATCTTTTTCCCTCATAAATGATCAGCAATTTAATAACAATAATCTCACCTCCAACCTCATCTTAATTAGCAAGGTGTTCAAGAGGCCCCCGTAGGTTAAAAACATTCCCAGAAGAAAAGCCACTAAAAATATTGCCTCACTACCAAACTACATGCTTTTTAACTAGATCGCTTGCCAGGTAAAATACACCCTTTATGACAAGAGTTTTTATGAGGCTTCTCTGCCCATCATCAAAAATTGTGCTTTAAACATATCGCATAACTGACTACCCAACACCTTTGATAACACCACTTGCCAAAAGAACTCAACTTAGTGCGAATTCTCTCAAAGCTATGCTTTTCCATCTGCATGAAGGTGGCACCCCAGACACCGGGGGCTGTTCTGACTTTGGCCCACCTTTGAAACCACGCCGTGCATGTGCACAGGCACATACAGGGGTCATCAGGAAAGAAACACACACAAGAGAAAGTGGCAGGACTTCTCACCATCGCACTTACCTGCTGCATGCACAAAGTATGCCAAATATAAATCGAGTTCCTTAACAGAAACCCCTATGTGATGAGGCTGGACACAGAGCCCTGGATTGGAGCACTGCGGGGACTTGACAAGGCGCTCGCCATCAGTACTTTCGAGCGGAATACCTTTAAATAAAATCACCATAACCAGGTCCAACCTCCAGACTTTATCTGCCTGGCGGAGGCAGTCAATTCTTCGCATCTTGCCTTTCTGGTCTGGGTTGGAAAGGACACAGCACGGAGGCTTTTTCCCTGTAACTGTAAGCACAAAATCCTCTCGGTACTCAGGTCGGATATCTTTCCGTAACTTGGCCAGAAGTCGAGATGCCCACTTCTGCTTGACCTCTGGTTTTTCACTTAGCAACTCGTCCTTCACGGCTCTCTCTTCTTCTTTTGACATACGCTTTTCATGTTTTTTGAAGTATTTTCGTTTTCGGGCCTGCAGGTTGAACCATGTGTAGGCGAAGGCTCGGACGTGGGGCAGAAGGGCTTCGATGAAAGGATGGAATTCATCCTAGGGAAATGAATATAAACAAAAGTATGACTACACTGAAAACAAAAAGAAACAACTTTTTTTTTTCAGATGGTCACCGTCAAAAAAAAAAAATCTTTATTTCACTTGAAATTTGATGCAAGGATTAAATTACCAAAATCGTATATAGAATCCCTACGGGAAGTCCAAGAGGGAAAAAAGAAAGCGACTGGTATTATTTCTCACAACCTCAAAGATGAAAATTGCTAAAAATTTAAAAATGTTTTGGTATAGTCACCAAAGCATCCCAGGTTCTATGGTCCAGTCGTCATTGCAAATCCTTTAGCTAGTAAGTAAAGTTTATCGAAATGCTTATAACAATATATAATCCTAACCCTATTTCAAGGAAGGCATATCTAATTTTGCTCCAGCCTTGACCTCACTACTTGTAGTACAGCCAGGGTTCAGCCGCCAGATTGGCAAATCCTAAACATTTAGATGCCAGTCAATGTTTATGGAAGTCTAGGAGCAGAAATCGTCTCCGCGATCAATGAAAATAAAGACTTTCCCTCTAAAAACACTGTATGTAGACTCTGATCTGTGTCTTAGTCATTTTGGTAACATCTTAATTCCTTTTTAAGTATTCCAGTTGTACATAAATATTTTTAGTCAAAAACTTAGAAAAATATGGCAGAGGACCACATACAAAAGAAGAGATGAATCTGATATTCATCAGACTAAAATAAAAGATCTATGTCCAAGACATAATTTCTGATATTATGGGAATGAAACAAAAAGGGGGGGGGGGACAAAGAAAAGCGTACATTCCAGATAGTAAACAGAATGTGTCACTGTGACAACAGTGTTGCAACTAAATACATTTAATTTACTGATATGATTGTGAAATGCCTTCAGTAATGATCATCCCTTAAAAAACAAAATAATTATTTAACTTTTGAAAATAATATTTCAGGCTTTTCCTCACAGGAAAAAGGAGAACCTGATATATTCAATGTTTATGAGACTCCAGGAAAACCATCATCGTTGCCTCTTAAAATTCAAGTAATTTGAAAATAAAATGGAATTTAAAATATTTAAATTTTTCTTACTGTTTTACTGAAGATGTTTGATTCTTTTACTTGACATTTTCTTAGTAAATATAAAAATAAAATTAAAGAAAAATTAAACAGTAACCTCCACAAAGCTTTCTCGGTACATCTAACTTTTGATTAACCAACCCACACTAATCTTACATAACTTTTCTCTGCCGCACAACCCCCCAAAAAGATAAATTATTTACTTTCAAATAAAAGAGAATAAGAAAATCAAAGAGATACTTGATGACTTTTTTAAAGGGTGTAGGACAGACAAGTATTATAAAATGCATTCTTTTTCAGTTCGTAATATCCATCTAAATATATACTTTGGAGACAGAATTAACTGCAGTGTCCAAAATACTACTATTAAAAATTATTAAATTTTTAGATGTTCAAATGTAAACTGAGTGGTTAAAACTGGTAAAATATTTTAACAATGAAGTCTGTTAAAATATAATAAATTATAATCAATTATCTAAACTACATATTATTGTTTTGAAAAGTATATATTAATAAAATACATAATAAATCATTTCAATAAATGACATTTCTTTTTTTCCTCTCTGAATAAATTTCAGGCTCTGTATTTCAAGTTTAACTTTGAAAACTGCTCTTTTTCAATAAAAGCATCCAAGAAGAAGTCAGCTTTTATAACATGTGAGCCTTCTTTAAGTGAAGAGGGAACAGAAAAAAAAAAGAATTATATTATCCTTTACCAAAAACCCTCAGCATTTTTCAATTTCTGATGTTTGAAAAATCTTTCTTACTGCCATACTATAGAATAGAGAAATGGGGGGGGGGCAATTTTCAAGTCACAGTTTATCTACTAAGATACATGCCACACCACAAAGCATTTAAACATTACTAAATTCTGAGCTCATCCTTGAAATGCTCTAAAATACATAAATTTGGAGTTTGAAATGGTCCTTCACATTGACTGATTTTATTATATACATAGGACATACTAGGGACCAAGGCTGTATGGCATTATGCAAAGAACTCCTGGAGCCTACCTTAACTACAAAGTGAGCTTTCACCAAAAGGAGGATTTTATTTTAAAGTCTCAGCCCTATTTTATAATGCAAAGAATAGCATAGTTCCAAACAATTCATATTTATGCTAAAACATTATCTTATTAAAAAGCTTTATTAATAATAAACATTTTAAATAAGCATTCTAATATGGCATTTAAGTGCTCAAAGATACTCCCAACATGTTTCTCGGAGAACGGAGAACTGCGTTCATTCGTGTTCAAGAGGATTTTGTTTACCTGCCAACCAAATGCCCATATATCCCATCCTAAAAATCCTTAAATAAGGTCAACCATATCAACTACACATTAAGAATAATCTAAGTCCCCATTTTTGCATCAAAAGTTTTTACAACTTATTACTCCCCAAAGGTTTCAAGAATGCGCCAATAAAAGTGCACAATATTTTGTATAACTTTACACACATGCACAATTAAAGTGCTAGTTATCTTTCTCAACTCACAATTAGAAATATTCCAGAATATCAGAACTAAAGAATATCATTAACTTGTAGGAAATGTCCAGGTATAGCATACATTAGATTTTTTTTTAAAAGTATGCCTTTACAAATAATGTTACTGCACATATAGCCATAAGTTATGTAATATTTCAAAATAGTCAAGAGAAAACAAAGAATGTTTTACATATGTACTCAGTGAGAAAGTTATCGGCCCCCAATAAAAACAAACCTGGAAACCTGTTTCCAAAGCGATATGACTTTCAATCAGCACCTTAAACGTTGATCAGTTTGTAAGTAAGCCAAGTTTAAGAACCACTGAATGCTGGCATTTCTGGGACTACTTCTCAAATGTTCACCTATAAATTTCTACTGTGTTACCATTCTGTGGCCAGGTACATGATTTGCTTACGATATGCCTGTATATTAAAATAAGATGTCTGGCATTTTTCTAATAAAGTTTTTAAAAATTGCATACACGTATATGGAGTTTAATCTTTCATTGAGGGTACTTTTATCCCTGTGCTTACTGGACTTTCTTTAGAGACCAATAAGCTACCTAAGTTTTTCTTTTTAAAAATTGGCTCTAAAGCTCTATAAATATTCCATCAGGTTAAATAAATTGTAAATCAATTTTTAAAAGAAGAAATCATAAAATATATGGCCTTCATTTGCTATTTAGTATATATTTTCTTCACAAACTGATATACTAAGTAAGCGTTTCTCTTAGTGGTGCTTCCAGAAGAAGGCCTAGTGAATGTATCAATCACACTGCCAAATATGTTTAAAGGAAAAAAAAACAACTTTCTTAATGTGATAATAGCTCATAAACCAAGAAAATCCAACTTTGTTAAATAACTAACTATACCTTGGGCCTACATAGATACACAGGTATCCTATGTGCACCATCTCAAAATATAAATTTAATTTTGAGAGCTCACTTGAGAAGACGCTAACGTATCCTACTATTGCAGCACACTGGTATTATCTACAAGTTCTATGTGTTGCAAACTTTTGCCAGCTAGAACTTCAGTCTTTGAATCTCAGCATTTTCACTGTGGTCCTTGCAACTCATTCAAATTATCTTACACTTTGCATCTTATCCATATGCAATTGTGAACTTTGCCAGAGTGGTTGAAAAGTTTCACTCCATACTTACACAAGTTACTAAAATAGGAACTTTGCAAGTTTGTTAGGGAAAAATAAAAAATAAAAACTTTTACAATAACTAAAAGCAACTGCTATCCATTATTAATGCTAGGCCTAAATCCTAAACAGACCATTTCAACATAAAATATGCATTTAAGAGTCTTCTGAGATCAAATAACCAGTATTTTTACTGTTAGATATTGCAATATGAAGAGATGTCATGTGGGAAATAAATCCAGACTCTACAGAGGGGAGGAATATCTATTGATACTTTTTAGCCTTCCAGAAAGTATTCCGATTAAACCGTTATCTCCTGCAAAATGAAGGCAAGAAGTGGTAGCAGGTTTTTTTTTTTTAAGGGAGTGGTGAATAAACATTTTATATGAAGCATACAACTTCATGCAAGTGATTAATGGTCAGATCGCAATGTACCAAAACAGTATGAAGGCTCACACTTTTTTTCTTTCCTTTTTTTCCCCCACCGCAAAATCACTTTTGACTTCGTGCCTTTTAGTCAAAGAAAATAATATATTCAAAAGGGACCAGATTTTGGAGCCATGAAGTAGCAATATTTTGCCTGGGGGTGGTGCAGGCAACAGAGAGGTGGAAAGGGAGGGCATGGAGAGGAGGGGTGGTGGGCGAGAAAGACCCACGCTCCGAGTTGAATCGGAGAAGAAAGTTGCCCCTGTCCTGCGCGCGGAGCGTACTGAGTCGCGCG